CCTTCCTCAGTTCTTTCCTTCTCTCTGATTCGTCCTCCTAGTTGTGATCTCCTTTCCTCCTACTTCCAGTGGTGGTTTCCTCCTTCTTCCCAGCTGCACTCACGCAACAACTGCAGACCAGCTTTTTTATAGCCAGTCTGAACTGGTTATCTTAATTACCTCCAGGTGTCCTAATTGGGTTAGGCTGGTCTGACTCTGCAGGCCTAGTCAATTAGCCCAATGTGTTCCACTACCCCTGATTGCCCCTACTGGTTCTAAACCAGCCCTTCCATAGTACTCTGGGAGCAGGGATCACCCTCCACTACTTTTTTATCACTTTCTGTTCTGATGCTGTCACAGCTGTTTCTTTCCCCAAAATTGGCTAGATAGTTGGACTCCCCCATCATCTAAGTTCCCTGTAAGCTATGTGACCATGCAGCTGTTTTTCGAGCTCTGCTCAGAAGTTCAAAGCTCCCACACAGGCAGGGATCCCAGTTGACCAGTGGGGGACAGGGCATCATTTTACTAAGCAAGCAGCTAAATGGAGCTGCTCTGGGTTTGAACTGAGCATCTCCCAGAACAGGTAAAGAAGGAAGATAAGGAGAGAATAAGTGGCTTGGGGGAGGAGAAGGAGGGACGGAGTAATTGGCTGAGGGGGAGCCAGAGGGGAGGGGAGTTTGGAGAGTCCTGTCTGTGCAAGGAGTGAGAGGCAGCAACTCAACACTCTCAAGCTACCTGGGAAGGGGGAGATAAGGGGATGACTCCATGGGGTAGGTGAAGGAAAGTGGGGATGGGTGAGTGCTGGGGGGGGGAAGTTTGTGCTGTGAGGTGGGGGAGATGCGGATAATTTATTTGTGCTTTAGCTGGGAGTTAGGACAGGACAGACTGTTGGTGCCTGCTAGTTTGAGAAGCAGGATTTTATCCCAGCCCACACTGGGAAGCAAATTGCACAGAGGTAGGAGGGGGAAAGGGTATGTGCCAGGACATTTGCATGATTACATTTCAAACAAAGTTTACATAGGTGTTAATGGCTTAAGGTAACAAAGAAAAAAACAGCTTTTTTGGAGTATTGCAAATATCTACAAAGCTGATCTTAATGATTTTTTAAAATCCTGTGTTACTAATTAATATGGGGGTCGGCAACCTTTTCAAATCAAAGAGCCAAACTACATCAAAATTCAGAACAAGTAATCAGCAAAGAGCCATATAAGAATGCCCATTTGCATGAAAATATACAACTTAATATTATTGATAACTGACATGATGAATAATAATAGCATAAATGAAGCATTGTACACACAGACTTTATTTAATGGGACTTCTGCTACTGCTGGGGGTGCAGGAGTCAGGGCTCGGGTGTTTGAGGGGCTCAGGACAGGGGGCTGGACAGGGTATAGGGTTAAAGTGTGTGAGAGTTTTAGGGCAGGGGGGCTGGGGATAGGAGTGGCTCAGGGCAGGAGGTTCATGTATATGATGGACTCAGGGCACAGGGTTGCGGTATGGAGGGTTCAGGAGTGTTATGGCAGGGGTCTGGCAATGTGGGGGTGCAGGAGTCTGGGTTGGAGTGTATGAGGAGCTCAGGACATTGGGTTCATATCTATGATGGGATCAGGGCACAGGGTTGTGGTGTGGGGGGTGAAGTAGTGTTATGGCAGGGGATTGTGGGAGGTGCAGGAGATAGGGCAGGGCACTGAGGGTGGGATAAGGGGGCCCTGGTGCTGGATTACCTTACCTGGCTGGGGCTGGGCTGCTGCACCTGGGCAGCAGTGGCTGGATATGGGGCCGGGCCAGGATCACCACTGCTGGTTTGTGGCCTCCCCTCCTGCACATGCTGCAGCAGGAGGGGGCTGCCACCACCAGCCCTTCCTGCAGCCAAATGGGGGACATACTACCGGGCCTGTCCCAGGATCAGGGCTGGGAACAGGATGCTGTGGCCAGATGGGGGCTGGGCACTTTTACTTTCTCATGTAAGTTTATCAAAATTCATTTTAAATAAAGTAAAATATTATGTCCAACACAAAAGGTTTCAACATAGTCTTTATGGTAGGGGTGGGAACCACACAAGTGAGAAGCAACCCCCTCCTCCCCCCAAAGAAACCAAACCAAACCAAACCAAACCACACCACTCCTCCAAATT